CAATGGAGCATCCCCATCTAAGTCTCCAGTTGGCAGAACACGGCTTAAGGGGGGTTCATCACCAACTTCACCACCTGAGTTTGGATCCTTGCACCCCACAATGTCCAGGAGAATTGAGGCTGCATCGGCATTTTCGAGTGCTTTGCGTTCCTGTTCCTGTATGAGACTTTCGGCTGCAGAGGAGTAGAGAAGTGGCAATTAGTACTCTGAAATATACAGCTCTAAATCAGGGGTGGGGAAATTCTAGCCATCAAGAATTCCTCATCTAGATCACAATCTTCTTCCTCAAGCCCTGTGTAGGGAAGGAAATGCTTCTATTCTCATCTCTGATCACTGCTTGGAAATAAGAGATAAAACAAGCTTCCTTCAGCACTATGGTCCAAACATACTCCAGAAATAATACAGTTTGAGACTGCTTTACCTGCCCTGGCTCAGTGCTATGGAATTCTGGGATTTGTAGTTTACTATGGCATCAGAGCTCTCTGACAGAGGTGGCTAAATGTTTTACAAAACTACAGTTCCCAGAATTCCCTACAACTGAGCCAGGGCAATTAAAGCAGTCTCAAACCAGATTACTTCTGCAGTGTGTTTTGAGTTGCCCTGTTAGTAAACCGCACGCTTATCTCTGATCATATATAAGACAGAAGATTTAAAGACATTTAACCTTTAAGTTTCCTTAAATGCTTGTACTACAAGAAAAGGGATACCTCCACCCACACCTAGCTTTGACCCAAAATAGTCTTTCAGGAAAGGGTAACCGGTGTGTCCTGGATTTATCTGCTGCTGTGACGTTTTCCCCAAGAACCTTTCCAAATTAGAACTCAATCCTGGGAATAAGAAATGGTTTCCCATTCCAGTGCAACATGATAGTTTAGGGCAGGGTTTCTCAATCAGGGGTCTCTGGAACTCAAGGGTTCTGTGATAAATCACTAGTAGTTCTGCAAGAGATTGTGATTTTTAAAAAAGGGTTTTGTTTTTTTTTAGTTGTAAATATAGGACAAGAGAGCCAGCATGGTGTAGAGGTTTCAGCATCTAAAATGAATTTTAAATATGTACAGGTATACTGTGGCGTAGTGGTTTGAGTGTCAGACTATGACTCTGGAGTGTCAGACTATGACTATGACTCTATGACTCTGGAGAACAAGGTTCAAATCCCAGCTCAGCCATGTAAACCCACTGGGTGACCTTGAGCAAGTCACATCTCTCACCTTCAGAGGATCGCAATGGCAAATCCTTTCTGAAGAAACTTTCTAAGAAAACCCTATGATAGATTCACCTTAGAGTCACTGTAAGTCAGAAATGACCTGAAGGCATACAACAACAAAATGCAGGGCAATGACTCTCAACCTTAGCCCTCCAATGTTTCAGACTTCTACATTCAGAGGCCCCAGACAGCATGGCCTATGGTCAGGCAAAGGGAACTAATAGAACTACAAAGAAACTACAAATAATTAATAGTTTACAACAGTGTGGAGTCAATGCTTGCAGATCCAAGTTACGGTATCTGTAAGTTTGGGTCTTCAAGTTGCCTGTTGATTTATAGTGACTCCTTGAATTTCACTGGATTTTCTTAAGCTAGGAACACTCAGCATTGGCACCTTCTTCTGAAATATAGCCACCAGAATTTGCTATTCCCTGGTGGTCTCCCTTTCAAGTACTAACCACGCCTGATCCTCCTCAGCATCTGCACTGCAAAATGAATACAGTATGATACTGCTTTAATTGCCATGGCTCAATGCTATGGAATTCTGAGATTTGTGGTTTTGTGAGATATTTGACCTTTCTGTCAGAGAACTCTGTGGTTATAACAAATTAGAAACCCCAGGATTCAATCAGAAGGAGCCATGACAGATAAAGCAATGTCAAGCTGCATTATTTCTGCAGCCTAGGATCTGGTGATTTCAGGATATTCAAGCAATCTACCTGTAGATAACGCCCTGGAGAGCGGACGCTCTTGGTCTCCTTTTTCCCTGTCAAGGTTGCTGTCTTCAAGCCCTTGGTAAGTGGAGAATCTGTCTTCCAAAGACTGCAGCAAATCCCCGGGCCCATCTTCAGTCCCACCATACAGTTCTTCTGAGAACTCTGAAAGCCCATTGGGATCGATTCGGATGGCCTCTGGAGGGTCACCATCGTCCACAATATTTTTGATGAGCTTGGTGTCAAAGTCCATCTCAAGATTGGCAATCACAGGGTGTTCCTCCTCCTCCTCTTCCTCTTTCTCTTTCTTACACTCCACAGAGGCAATGGTGACTCCATTCTCGTCCACCACCCGGACTTCCACAGGCAGGAGGGTGCTCTGGAGCACGCTGGAGATTGAGCTGGCTTCTTCTTCCTGCAGTTCCTCCTCCTTGATTTTTGGAGTGAGCAGGCCCAAATGATTTTGGCCTGTTTGTGCCGTAGTCATGCTCCCGCCGGGCTGCGGGAGAAGATCATGCGGTGGAGTGGGGGACACTGTCCCAGTCTGAGTGAGGCCAAACTTACTCTCTGGCAGAAGGCGAGGCTGCTTCTGAGGGGGCGGCTTGCCTTGGGTGCCAGCCAGTGCCGTCCGCAATACCGGTGCAGCAGTTAAAGGGGATCGTGCGGCCTGTCCAGAAGTCCCAAGCGCAAGCGGTGAGGTCTGCCTGGCCAGCGTCAGAGTTGTCTGCCTCTGCCACTGCCCCTTGTCTGGCGGGGGCCTGGGTGTGGAGTCTCTCTTTTCCAGGATCATGGCTAGCTTGTTGTAGTATGGCATAGCACTCAGGTCGACCCCCGAACCCTTACTCTGCGTGGTGACTTCCTTGTACTTCTTCTTCAGAGCGTTCATCTTCTCCCGGCACTGGCGGGCCGAACGGTTGTACCCCCGCAGGCCCATCTCTGTGGAGAGCCAGTTAAACACTGCCTCATTGTGGTACATATTCCGGAGTTCATTTTGCACCTCCGGACTGATCCAGAGGTCAACAAAGAGCCCGATCTCTTCTTTGCTCCAAAATTTGGCCCGTTGTCTTTGAGACTCTTGGGTGTCCTTCGCAGTGGCGGTGGGTGCCTGCGAGATGGGGGACGTGCCTGCCAAGGGAACATTTTTTTAAAATTAAATATATATATTTATTCAATTTTTTAAAAAGGAACAATAACAATGATAAACTCAACAGAACAAAAACAAAACAAAACCACTCACAATAAAACCTACACTAAACAAACAGAATATTAAACACATTAATGCCAAAAGAACATAAAGAAGCTCAAGATGTTTTTGAATAACACCATGTTTAAAGTAACTGGTGACAAATAAGTAGTTATCTGCAGTTCTTACAAACAGTTACTTGTACTTTACTCCTTCACCCAATGATAAAGTCCGAACTATGTCACATTACAACTGTAATTTAAAAGGATTAACTTCACTCCTTTCGCAATGTAACTATAACTATACCTCATGCTCTATTATGAGTGTTGAGGCAAGGAAGAGGTAGATGGGAAGCAATGTGTTTTGTACCACAGGAAAGCAGCCTGTAGTGTACAGACTTTTAAAAAAAACTAACTGGAAAGAACTATTTAGTTACTTTTGAGAAATGGTAAATTGTTGCTTTAAAAATACTTTTAACTGCAGCTGGGTATGTAGTCTGTAGAAGAGATGGTTAAGAGGTGACATGATAGCCCTGTTTAAATATTTGAAGGGGTGTCATATTGAGGAGGGAGAAAGCTTGTTTTCTGCTGCTCCAGAGACTAGGACCCAAAACAATGGATGTAAGCTCCAGGAAAAGAGATTCCACCTCAACTTTAGGAGGAACTTCCTGACAGTGAGAGCTGTTTGATAGTGGAACACACTCCCTTGGAGAGTGGTGGAGTCTCCTTCTTTGGAGGTCTCTAAACAGAGGATGGATGGCCATCTGTTGGGAGGGCTTTGTGTCTTCTTGCATAGTAGAATGGGGTTGGACTGGGTGGCCCTTGAAGGATTCACATCCCTTCAAATACTTAAACAGTGCTATCATATCATCTCTTAGCCTTCTCTTCTCCAGGCTTAATATAACCAGCTCCCTAAGTCACTCCTCATAGGATATGGTTTCAACATCTTAATGTTGATGCATGAAAAGAAAGGGTAGGTAGAAAAATGAAATGACAATGATTTGGAAGGCAAAGCAACGGAGTGCTAATGCTTCTATCACACAAATATGGCCACACTAGGCTCATCAGAGTGAAAACTGGAGGCTGCTCCTGTATTTCCTAACAGTTGTGTAGAAGCAGAAATTTAAGGTGCTGAAATTCCCTCTTTTACACAGCCATTAAAGAGACAGGAGTTATCCCTCGTTTTCATCTGGCAACCTGAAATGTGGAAGCAACCAGTGATGAGACTCCTCCCCGAGTGTTCGTTTCCCAAAGTTGGCCTGTGTTGGGAGAGGAGCCAAAGCAAAGGTTTCTCTTACAAAGAGTAGGACTACAGCTCCCAAAATCCCCTGGTCACTATGGTAAAAGTCTTCCCAAGCTCTGCAGCCGAGTGCTTGAGCAGCAAAAGTCTACATGACAACAGGTTAACAGCATGGAGGGGTCCTCTAGTGGTTCCCAACCTTTGGTCCTCCATTTGTTTTGGATTTCAGCTCCCAAAAGCCCCAGCCAACTTGGCCAATAGTCAGTAATTATGGGAGCTGAAGTCCAAAACATCTGAAGGATCAAAGGTGGGAAACCGCTCCCTGAAGAGGAGCCTGCCTATCCCTTACCCAGCGACATCACATTCTGGTAATTCTCCTGCATGACCTCCTTGTAGAGGGCTCTTTGGGTCCAGTTCAAGAGAGCCCACTCTGCTTCTGTGAAATAGATGACCACATCCTCAAATGTCACAGGGCCCTGGAAGAAGGGAGAAAATTTATTTATTTAAATTATTTATTATTTACATAGTGTGTGTGTGTGTGTGTTGTGTGCCTTCAAGTCATTTCTGTCTTATGGCTACCCTATCATGGGTTTTTCTTGGCAAGATTTGTTCAGAGGAGGTTTGCCAGTGTGACTTGCCCAAGGTCACCCACTGGGTTTCATGGCTGAGCAAGAATCGAACCCTGATCTCCAGAGTTGTAGTCCAGCACTCAAACCATTGTGCCACAGTGGCTCTCATTTACACAGTTCATAGTACAAATTGTATCATCCATAATTTATAATATATTTCTCCTCCCTTTCCCTCCTCCCACAAACAAACACTCAGAGGGTTTACATTCCATTTAAATTAACAATCGTTCTCGGAGATACAGAAAATATTAATTTCTTTACTTCTTCATACCCCATTTCTTCTTCTACTTTCTTAATCACAATTTCCCATTGATCTTTCCATGATTCTTTATTGCTTTGTCCAATATATTTATGCCTAAGGAAATCAAATAATAGATATTCTTTTATTTTTTAAAAATAAGACTTATTCCAATCAGATTTCTTTTTCCATCCAAAAGTAATCCCTGCATGGGAAAAGGGGAGAAAATGAAACAAAAACACTCAGGATCTCACACTTAAAGCACTACAATTCCACAGACTGCCCTGGCTCCACCCTATGGAAACATGGGATTTGTAGTTGGAGATATTTAGAATTTTCAGTCAGTACCTCACTGAACTACAAACTCTAGGATTTCATAGGCAGTTAAAGTGGAATCATAGTGTTATATAAATAATCTAGAGTGAAAGGGTCCCTGATCTCCCAAATCTGTATTTAAAATTTTCCATCAGATAGTATAGGCCCTTACCAAAATATGAGTTGATTCACCCTTATCCAGAATTTTAAAATATTCCAAAAACTAAAACTTTTTTCATGGCTGGCTGAGATAGGGATACTTTTGCTTTCTGACGGTTTGATGTACACAAACTTTTTTCAGGCACATACTTACTAAAAATAATTGTATATAAAATTACCTTCTGGCTATGTGTATAATGCATATATGAAAAATAAATGAATTTTGTGTTTGGACTTGGGTCCCATTTCCAAGATATCTCATTATGTATGTATATACAAGTACAGGTAATCCAAAATTCCAAAAAAATCTGAAATCCAAAACACCCCTGGTCCCAAGTATTTGGGAAAAGAGAGACTCAACCTGCAAAAATCCCAAGGCTCCACAATCATGCCAGTTAAAGTGGAATCATAGTGCTATAACTGTGTAGTCTGAAAGGGCCTCAGATTTTCCTGGCCTGTGCCGCAGGAAAATCAGAGTCTTCTGATTCTGATTCTGAAAAAATAGAGTTCTGACCTGTAATGTTTTGAGGCCAACCTCCCAGAATTTGACAAGACATTTTGCCCAATGTAAGCAGATTTACCCCATTTCTTCATACACATTTCCTCCTCCCATCTCAGTAGAGTGGGTCCTTGGTATCCGCTGGAGTTTGGTTCCAAGGCCCCCTATGGATACCAAAATCTGTGGGTGCTCAAGTCACGTTATATACAATAGCATAGTAAAATTGTGTCCCTTATATAAAATGGCAAAAGAAGGTTTGCATTTTGGAATTTTTATATTTTGAAAATATTTCCAAGCCGTGGATCACAGAATCATAGAATTGGAAGAGACCCCAAGGGCCATCCAGTCCAACCCTCTATCATGCAAGAACCCAAAATCAAACCATCCCCAACAGATGGCCATCCAGCCTCTGTTTAAAGACCTCCAAAGAAGGAGACTCCGAGGGAGTGTGTTCCACTGTCGAACAGCTCTCACTGTCAGGAAGTTTCTCCTAATGTTGAGGTGGAATCTCTTTTCCTGTAGCTTGCATCTGGAGCAGCAAAAAACAAGCTAGCGCCCTCCTCAATATGACATCCCTTCACATATTTAAACTGGGCTATCATATCCCCTCTTAACCATCTCTTCTCCAGGCTAAACATACCCAGTTCCCTTAGTCGTTCCTCGTAGGGCATAGTTTCCAGTCCTTTCATCATTTTAGTCGCCCTCCTCTGGACACGCTCCAGTTTTTCAACATCCTTTTTGAATTGTGGTGCCCAGAACTGGACACAGGATTCCAGGTGGGTCTGACCAAAGCAGAATACAGTGGCACTATTACTTCCCTTGATCTACAATACAGTGGCACTATTACTTCCCTTGATCTAGAATCCATGGATAAAAAGTCCATGGATATAATTGAATCCATGGATAAAAAGTCCATGGATATGGAGGGCCAACTATAAAAACCCACCAGCAGCTTTGGGAAGCAAGCCCTACTTACCAGATTAATCTTCTGTTCGTTTTCCTCACCAACGAACAGGGAGGTCATTCCGCAGCCTGTGAAAGTGAACAGAGAGAAGGAGGTTGTTGTGAGCAAGGTTTTCAAATCATGCTGCATCCAACCCCATGGCACACCGTACAGAGGAGATCATACATGACAGGTAAGGACACAAGACTCTGAATGGGGATATTCATCTTAAAGCAACAAGATGTCTTGTTCTTCTTGTTGTTATTGTGGGCCTTCAAGTCATTTCCAACTTATGGTGACCCTAAGGCAAACCTACTGATTGGCCACTGTGCAATGATAGCCAAACCTATTGGGTGGCCACTGTGCAATGGTAGCCAATCCTACTGGGTGTCAAGGGTGAAATGGTAGCCAATACTACTAGTTGGCCACTGTGCAATGATAGCCAAACCTACTGGTTGGCCACTTTGTAATGGTAGCCAAACCTACTGGGTGGCCAGTGTGAAATGGTAGCCAAACCTACTGGGTGGCCAGTGTGAAATGGTAGCCAGTCCTACTGGGTGGCCAGTGTAAAATGGTAGCCAATCCTACTGGATGGCCACTGTGCAATGGTAGCCAATCCTACTGGGTGGCCACTGTGCGATGGTAGCCAAACCTACTGGGTGACCAGTGTGCAATGGTAGCCAATCCTACTGGGTGGCCACTGTGCAATGCTAGCCTGTGGAGTGTCTAATTTGCCATGACCTTGATGTATCATGGCATCCCTTATACACAACCAGACATTGTCTATGCGGCACCCTATGTGCATTCGGGCACCAGCAAGCATGTTCCAATGTGCATCAGGCACTTTTACTGTGCGTCAGAACACTCTTGCTGGTGCCTCAATGCTTATCTTTGCAATTCGCTATACAGTGGGCCCTTAGTAAACGTTGGGCTTTGGTTCCAGAACCCTCCGTGGATACCAAAAACCTTGGATGCTCAAGTCCCATTAAATATAATGGCAAAGTGAAACAGTGTTCTTTATATAAGATGGCAAAAACAAGGTTTGCTTTTGGAATATATATTATTTTTGAATTTTTTCAAGCCATGGATAGTTGAATCCATGGATTAGAAAAATCCGTAGAGACAGAGGGCCAGTGGGATATAACCGAGCTCTGCTGTTTTTCTGCAACATGGCGACAGATTTGTAAAGTTCTGAAATGCAGATCAAGATGTCAAATCTCTTCCAAAATTGTTCTGTGGAAATTTCTGATCAGAAATTAAAGGGAAGGAATTCTAGGAGTCTTGCTTTAACCGTCTTCATCCTCTCAGACCATTCCACTCACTTAAGATGGAAAGGTGTACAGTGGTCCCTCCACATTTAGGGTTAGGGGTAAAGGACTTCCGTGAATGTGGAAAAACCTCAAATAATAAAAAACACTATTCCAGGGGTAGGCAACTTTTCCCCTTTAAGGGCCGAAGGACTTCAGCTCCCAGAATCCCACGAGCTATTGGCCAACATGGGACTATTAGCCAACATGGCTGAGGCTTCTGGGAGCTGAAGTCCCTCGGCCCTTAAAGGGGAAAGGTTGCCTACCCCTGCACTATTCTTTTTACCTGAGAGAACACCTCTCTAGGAATCTCCAAGGCAACTCTACGGTCAATATCTGCCAGAGGTTGACTACACAGTCGCCCCTCCGTTTTCACAGAGGATCCATTCCAGACCCACCCACACCGCGCAAAAATGGAAATTATCAATATTCAAACTCCATTGGCTTGAATGGCAGTGTGCGCCTGCGGCACGTGTCCCATTTTGTCCCCCTCCATTTGCCACCTGCGAAGGGGCGAGGGACATGGACTCCAAATCCGCAAAAATGGAGGGCAGCTGTAGAATGATGCTGGAGAACCTGCAAATGCCTAGAGAAGTGTTTTCTCTAGAACAGGGGTAGGCAACCTTTCCCCTTTAAGGGCCGAGGGACTTCAACTCCCAGAATCCCAGGAGCTATTGGCCAACATGGGACTATTGGCCAACATGGCTGAGGCTTCTGGGAGCTGAAGTCTCTTGGCCCTTAAAGGGGAAAGGTTGCCTACCTCTGCTCTAGAAGCTTATACATTCTCCAGCACAACTCTATGGTCAGCTTCTGACAAAGTGGCACTTGAAGACTTAGAAATTCCTAGAGAGGACATATTAATCAAAGCTGCAAACAATCAAATCCGGAAAAATGAAAGCTGTAATTACTTTTCACTTACTTCAATGTGCGGCAAGCCAGGGCTGCTACGTTTGGGGACCCTCCTGGTCATTGTGCTGAAGGGGGTCCTGGCAACGTCCTCCTCTGTAGCGTCAACACCATGGGATTGCAAGTAGAAAGGTAGACCACTGTGTACGCCACCTGAGGTTTTAAATGGATATGTATGAATTCTTCTCACCAGCCTGCAGCATTAACAAAGAACGGGGGGAACCTCCCTTGTTGTTGTTGTTGTTGTGTGCCTTCAAGTTGTTTCCAATTTATGGCGACACTATCACGGGGTTTTCTGGGCAAGTTTCTTCAGAGGGGGTTTGCCACTGCCATCCTCTGAGGCTGAGAGAATGTGACTCACCCAAGATCTCCCAGCTGAGCCGGGATTCGAACCCTTGTCTCCAGAGTCACAGTCCAGCTTTCAGACCACTACACCACGCTGGCTCTCATCCACAACTCTTAATCTAACACAACTATGGTAAATAATCTCCACTCTGGCATAAAGCCTTTTTTTCCGGAGAGGTTTGTAGAGTTTTTAGCTGCACAAAGCCTAAACTCCTCTGAATTGCGTGTGTATTTTATGAATTGAATGAGTATTTTATTCATATAGACAAACCCTGTGTGTGTGTGTGTGCAAGCCATTTATACACACACACATACACATATATACACAAACACACTTTTCTCTTTGGACCTTTCATTGGAAAAAACAGTCTCACATGTTGCGGAGTTTCAATGGATCAGAAACCAAGTAGGAAAGGGGTTTTAGGGCCTTTGCAGACTGCTAGAAATAGTGCAAATTGAGTCCACTTTAAGGGTTAGGGAATCATGGGAACTGTAGTTTATTGTGGCATCAGAGCTCTCTGACAGAGAAGGCTCAATGTCTCAGAAAAAACTACAATTCCCATGATTCCCTAGCACTAACCCTAACCCTTAAATGGACTCAATCTGCACTATTTCTGGCAGTCTGCAAAGGTTTTTAGGTGCTTTTAATGATCACAACTATTCCTTGAGACACACATGCACACTTTATTTCTTTCTTGTTGTTGCTGTTGTTGTGTGGCTTCAGGTTGTGTCCAACTTATGGCGACTCTGTCATGGGTTTTTCTTGGCAAGTTTTGTCCAGAGGGGGTTTGCCGTTGCCATCCTCTGAGGCTGAGAAAGTGGGACTTGCCCAAGGTCACTGGTTTTTACATGGCTGAGTTGGGATTCAAACCCTGGTCTCCAGAGTCATAGTCCAACCCTCAAACCGCTAGGCAAGATGATGTGTGTCTCTGGCATGGGGCACACGTAGACCCTTGTTTATTTTTCGTTCACATTTTGTAGGACCTTAATCCAATCCACACTGCAGAAATAATCTAGTTTGACACCACTCAGGGCTGGGGAATGATGGGAATTGTGGTGGCACCAGGCCACCCTGACAGAGGAGGATAAATGCCTCACAAAACTATAGTTTCCAGATTTCCCTAGCAATGAGCCAGGGCAGTTAAAGCAGTGTCAAACTGGATTATTTCTGCAGTGCAGCTCAGCACCTTGTCCTCCTTTGTGGTTGGGACATCTGGACATCCTGGTCTGAGAGGTCTAGTTCACAAAAAGTAACTTTTCCAAGCTCTGAAAGTACCTGGGAGAGAGGATAGAGAGCTTTTGTTGTGTGCCTTCAAGTCAACTTCTGATTTACGGTGACTTATACCACGAGGTTTTCTTGGCAAGACTGGGTTCAGAGGGGGTTTGCCATTGCCATCTTTGAGGCTGAGAGTGTGTGACTTGCCCAAAGTTGCTTTCCAAGGCTGTGGAGGGCATAATACTCTGGTCTCCCTGACTTCTCAAACCACCTTCCTAAAAAGCACACAGCTGATCATGTTCTGCATGGCTATAAAAGATGTAAAGTCAGCTTCTCTGCTTATGTTTAAAAAGTCTTTCTTCCTTTATTCTCTAAATCCGGGAAACTGCATTTTTGGTTACTACCGATCTTATCATTTCCCAGAAAACCAACACCATCAGCAGCTTCTCAGAAGTTAGAAAATTTGGGTAACCTGGACTAGGTGAATTTTGAATACAGTACAGGTATACCATGGTGTAGTGGTTTGAATGCTGCACTACGACTCTGGAGACCAGGGTTCGAATCCTGGCTCGGCCATACAAACCCACTGGGTGGTCTTGGGTGAGTCACACTCTCTCAGCCTCAGGGGAAGGCAATGGTAAACCTCCTCTGAACAAATCTTGCCAAGAAAACCTCTTGATATGGTCGCCGTAAGTCGGAAATGACCTGAAGGCACACAATAACAACAACAACACATACACATAGATATTAACCTGGAGAGGAGGAACCTATTGAGCTACAGGTGTTGCTGGATTGCAACTCCCAACATCCCACACCACTGACTGATGGCTGATGGGAGTTGGAGTCTAACAGTCTCTGGAGAAACACAACAACAACAACAACAATGTGAGGAAGAGAGAGAGAGAGAAAGAGAGAGAGAAATGGGATGGGAAGCAGGAAGAGAGACTCCCAACTCCAAGGCGGGAGAGACTACAACTCTCATCATCCACCACATCGCTGGGGACAATGGGGGCTGTAGTCCAGGGGAACTATACCCAATAGAGAGAGAGAGAGTTGAGACTCCCAACTGGTGGGTGGGGACAGACTACAATTCCCATCATTCCCCACATTGCAGGGGACAATGGGAGCTGTAGTCT